TCACTGGCAGTTATTTCATACAATCATTAACATAATTAACACTGTTGTCATCCAGAGTCAGTGTTACTATCACGCAGGAAGCCTTTCCGTTCTCATATGATGAAAAACAACAACTAGAGGAACTTACATCAGAGAGGATCCTGTGGAACACACTGTGACAGTGAAGGTCAGTAGGTTTTTGAATACTAAAAAACACATCTTGACCTTTGTGTAATAGCATGTTTTATTCAAAAACATTAAACCTGCAACTGAATTTTTGGCCTTGCTGTCTTTATTTTACAGGAAGTGGAGAGCAGACAGGAAAGAAAGGATGATATTGGCACTTAATTCAGGCCGGATTTGAACCCGTGTCCCAGTTTATATCGACTATGCATTCCGTTAGTTTTTCAAATTGGTATGTTTTGCTGGGCCGCGAAGAAATATAGAGCTGAGTATCATTAGCATAACAGGGAAAGCTAACACCGTATTTCCTTATGATATTTCCCAAGGGTAACATGTAAAGTGTGAAAAGTAACGGCCCTAGTACTGAGCCTTGAAGTACTCCATACTGCACTTGTAATCGATATGATACCTCTTCATTCACTGCTACGAATTGATGGCGGTCAGATAGGTACGTGCTAATGCACTTCCACTATTAGTCGTAGGGAAGTCGTGGCCTAATGGTTAGAGAGTCGGACTCGTAACCCAAAGGTTGCGGGTTCGAGTACCGGCAGGGATTGTAGGTGGGGGGAGTGAATGTACAGCGCTCTCTCCACCTTCAATACCACGACTGAGGTAACCTTGAGCAAGGCACCGAACCCCCAACTGCTCCCCGGGCGCCGCAGCATAAATACTCTGCTCCGGGTGTGTGTTCACGGTGTGCGTGTTCACTGCTGTGTGTGTGCGCACTAAGGATGGGTTAAATGCAGACCACATACTTGGCCACATGTCACGTCACTAACGCCAACAACGTTTTCTAGTCTATTGTAGCGTCTCGACCAATCTGACACACTAACTTTAATTTGATTTAACAAATCAATTATTCATTAGGTTAACAAATCGTCACAGTCCCCTCACTCAATAAACTGGATGCCAGGATGTCTGCTGAACACCAGGCCCTCTGGTCACCATGACAACTAATCATGATATCACTGGTTTTATGACCCCCCAGGAATGTGAGAAGGATAGCCCACTCTTTGTCCCAAGGAAAAGCAGAGTAGAAATGACTGTGTTCTAGTTAATTCATAGAAAAACCGTTATTTGAATGAACACACATATTTCTTCAGGCCATTGAGTATATTATTGTCATTGTGTATTTGTGTATTTTGATTCTTAGACTATTTTAGTATGCTTGTGAGGGGACCCATTCCTGATCCTCCCTTTTCACTATATGTAATCATGTAATCTTTAGTATCTATGAATTTGCCTTCTTATGATCGAAACAAGCGTGTATATTATATGGTGGTACATAGGCAATATATATTAGGGCCCTGAGAATCGTTAATAATTTCGATTTAAGTCCATTTGCAAAATACCATGCTTCGAGAACAAAGGGTCGTAAACCCTCCAGCAAGTGCCACCTCCCGCTCGGAAATTCCATTGTGCTCATGGGACAAGCCCATCTTGAAAGGCGGAGACCTTCTCCGACCTTAAAGGCCCGGCTCCAGGGACCCGCCCCAGTCGGTGATTCAGTCAGAAGCAAAGATGATGTGAGAAAAACGCTTCAGGATACAAAGCATCTGTGCCAGGCCTTTCTTCGGCCTAGTCCTTTCCATTCATCAAGTGACACTGACTCAAACTGGTTCTTTTCATCAACTAATTTCAGCAAGATCTTGGACCTTAAGATTGCATCAGGAATCTTTTTCAGACATACGCAAGTATCAAACTTAGTCGATTTAATTGATGCATTAAGTATCAGTTACACCTTTTTACAAGGTTTGTTTGAACTAACAATCTGACGTTTTCCCTCAGGTTTTAGATCTGCTGAATATGCAAAATGGTTCCATAAATGTCATTCCTTATGTCTCTTTCTTTAGTGCTAAACTTTAACCCTTTCCTATACCAACTGTATGTGTGTGTGTGTGTATGTGTATGTTAGACCGGCTTAATGTGTTTATGTAGTATGTTAGACTAGTTTAAGTGTTTATGTAGTTAATAAAACCTTACTTGTATCACACTTGACGTGTTCATTGTTTACTCATAACCGGAGTCAATAATCATGCAGATTTACGTTACAAACTTATAGAATTGTACAGTAAGAAAGTTATTTCCTTTAACCAGGAAATTAACGTTCTTAGAATTGACAAGACAGTTGACCCTGAGTGGTCAGCTAAATATCTACAGTGGATCTAAAATATGAATAGTTAATTATAACTAGTTATGGTTAATTATTCATATTTCCCCATGAGCTAATCCGCTACAGATTGGTGGAGAGAATGCGGGCGTGATAAAACGAAAGTTATGAGTTTAAACACTGGCAACTTAAAAAGTGTGTGCTTGATAGCCCAGGGTAAAATAGGACGTGACTTCAGATGCCCGGTGGTGTCCCTATTTGCTGGCTTGTTGAGATGCAGATAAAGTGGGGGTTTGAATTGGTACCGCTATTATAATTGTGAGAGTCTTTATGTATTTCATGCTTAATGGCATCGGTGTAAGGTTAATCTGATTTTAGCAAAGAAACCCTAATTTCAGTATTAAAGCATAAATCTGTCTTGACAAAGCGTAAGTCTGAATCTCAGCTCAGCGGCATGTCCAAACTGTACCATAATGTAATATGCTTTAGTGAAGAAATCACAAAATTGCAGTATTGTTTAAATTGTTTCTTTGAAGAAGAAATCTCAGTACAGTTATATCAAGGTAGATGTGAGCGCTGCTCCCCTTTCTACAGCATAAAGGCCTTATAGTTTATAATTAGATTGAAGCAATTCATCTACACTTTGACTGCATATATATAAGCCGAGCAACCTGGTGGTCATTACTGTGTTTCACTCGCTGAGTGAAATTAAAGGTGTAATACTGTACTTTAAGTACTCATGTGTGAGGCAAACATAACTACATATATGTTTAAACCGGTTGTAACTTACAGTAAACACGTTTTGTAATTCTTTAAACAAGTCTTGAAGGCTGAAAGCACCACGTTCTAAAACTATGACTGTTTAACATAGACAGACATTAAACTGCATTAATTACACGGGCATGCATTGGTTACCGTGACAACAACGTGTCACAGGAAGTGCTAACGTCACATAGCACAACACGCCATGTTTGTAAACAAACCATTTGAAGCAAACACCGTATTTCCTTATGATATTTCCCAAGGGTAACATGTAAAGTGTGAAAAGTAACGGCCCTAGTACTGAGCCTTGAAGTACTCCATACTGCACTTGTAATCGATATGATACCTCTTCATTCACTGCTACGAATTGATGGCGGTCAGATAGGTACGTGCTAATGCACTTCCACTATTAGTCGTAGGGAAGTCGTGGCCTAATGGTTAGAGAGTCGGACTCGTAACCCAAAGGTTGCGGGTTCGAGTATTGTAGGTGGGGGGAGTGAATGTACAGCGCTCTCTCCACCTTCAATACCACGACTGAGGTAACCTTGAGCAAGGCACCGAACCCCCAACTGCTCCCCGGGCGCCGCAGCATAAATACTCTGCTCCGGGTGTGTGTTCACGGTGTGCGTGTTCACTGCTGTGTGTGTGCGCACTAAGGATGGGTTAAATGCAGACCACATACTTGGCCACATGTCACGTCACTAACGCCAACAACGTTTTCTAGTCTATTGTAGCGTCTCGACCAATCTGACACACTAACTTTAATTTGATTTAACAAATCAATTATTCATTAGTGTAAACTAAACGAGCCAATGCACATTGGCATGCGATTATTGCATCCAGCTGCTGCTGATCACAGCGGGCACCACTTAGACATCCAACCATTGAGTGATGACAGTCTGCTATGTATCTCGTTGCCACAAAAACACAAGGAACCTACACAGAACACATGTAACAGAATTTGAATTAATGGGGATTAATTGTGACCTTATTTTGTGAGATGCATTAGCATTATTGCGTTAGCAATGTTGAAAAGATTCAAATAAATTTTCTTTTTTCCCCTTAGAGTTATAAGAGTTATATGATGTGGATTTTGTGTGAATATCAAAAAATATAAAATTCAGTTCAGATTTTTATCCATTTTTAAATCTTGTTCTGCCACAGTGACACACTATGCTCAGTGCCTTTCAAATGCATTAATTTGCTCTAGAAATCATAATTTCCGAAATTACTTTCAAACATAAATAATTTTGCATAACAGCATAATCAACACCCTGCATTTTGTGTCTGAATAGAGGAACACCCCAAAATGATATATTCATCAAAGGAAACCTGTGGAAAATGATGCTCTGCTTTGTACATTTCAAGCATGCAATCCGTTTTTGCACTCTCAGAAAAAAAGGTACAAAAGCTATCACTGGGGCAGAACCTTTTCAAAAGGCACACCTTTGTACCTAAACAGTCCATATTGGTACCTTAAAGGTACATATTAGTACCTAAAATGTACATAAGTGTACCTATTGAAAAGGTACTGCCCCAGTGACAGCTTTTGTACCTTTTTTTCTGAGAGTGTGCATGTGCTATCAAGTTTGCACTTGTTATAAATTTGTAAGCTTATTAATATCCAAAAATATAATATTATAAATGCAATTTATTTATGTTTAAATTTGTATTTATCTTGTTTAGGGCAAAATGTAATTATTATTAATAATAATGTTTTATTTGTCCTAAAGTCCGCCATTCTCCAGTTCAGAACCACAGAAAATCTATGCCAAGATCTTGGATGGTGTGCTGAATTTTCCAGCATATATGGGGGAAGGTGCCAAGTCTCTCATCAGTAAACTGTGCAGGTAATTTCTGAATCTATTATGGAGGCTTTGGCTTGTTTTTACAATTTAAAAAAATATATATTTTATTTAAATGTCTTACATTTTTAGTCTTCAGTTTATGTGTTGTTTACATCAGATGCAGGCCACGTCCTGGACAGCGTCTGGGCAATACAAAAAATGGAATCAAAGATGTCCGACATCACAGGTAAGTTTTATGAAGATATATTAGGCTTAGTTCGGTGTACATTGCATTTAAATGTGTGTGTGTGTGTGTGTGTGTCTGTATACACACACTGAGTAGTACTGAGTACTGAGATGAGTATGGTTATGGTACTGAATATGCTTATGTGACATTTGTGCTGTTTTTATTGTTATTAATGTTTTTGCTGTTATGTGTGTATTGACATTTTCTCTCAATTATCTCTCAGGTGGTTTAACAGCATTAACTGGCATAAATTAAGAATGGGGCAGCTGGAGGCACAGACTATTCGACTTATAAGAAAGGTCAAATTTTAAACATAGATTATATTAAATTCAATTTTAGCAAAAGTATAATGTTTCATAATGATACTCCCTTAGCTGTCCTGGGTTGTTTGTAGCACTTTTCTGGTGTCTTACTCTGCCTCAATGGCAAAGCATTTTGATTATGTGGTAACTGTCAACATTGTAATAGATTTATCTGGCAGAACATCAAACAAATACAAGATACTGTCCGCTTTTTAAAAACTGATTCAGGATAAATCACAACTGTACATCACAAGCCACTAAGTAACAAAGTCTGTTTCATTGATTGGGTCTTCGTGGGTTCTTTGGTTTACAGGGTCCCTGCTATATAAACTTTGACCACTTTCCCTATGATAAGACCCAAGCAGAGGAGGAATTTTCAGGCTGGGATTGTGATTTCTGAACAGCTGCCAAGTCTTGAGGTTTCTGATATCTATAGGCTATCTCTACTTCCCAAGTTATTTACTCAGAAATGTACTCACAGTTCAATGAATTTACCTACTTATCTATCTTAAGGGAAGACAAGCTAATTTTATGAGTCTTGGTTTATGACTGAACTTTAGTAAAAAAGTCTTTCACAGAGAGTAAGTAAAAATTACGTCAATAAAAACTATTTCCTCCTACAGGAAATTATGGATTCATTTAGAGCCTCCGAAATGTCAAATTCCCCACATTTTGAATATATTTATTCTTAATTGACTTAAGACATTGTGATTGGAAGATCAGAAATGTATAAGGGCCCAGATTTTTGAAGGGAACACCCAGAGCTCAGTCACACTAGAGAACATTACATTAGTAATGAATATCATGTATTTTATTTAATTCAATTTAATTATGAATATTTAATTCAAATGAATGTGATTGTAGTTTTGTACTATTATTGCCGAGGCATTATAATAAAGAATTATAATTAAAAATCGAATGGGAAATGTAATTGAAAGAAATATGAAATATCTTCTTAAAAGAACTGAAAAGCAATATTTTTTTGCTGCAGTTATGAGACAAATGAAGTACTTACTCTTTTGCTTTAAGGTAAGGAATAATGTTATCTATAAGCTTCCAAATCAAGTCAAGTCATCAACAGCATCTTTGCAGAAAGTCTCAAAATTACGTCTATAATTTACCACAGAACAAGTTTTAGGTTCTGGGTGATATGACGATATGTAACGACGAAACAAGTGATCCTCTGCATTTTAGATCTAGCTATATTGTAATCAGTGTTGACATACATCAGTGCTGCAGTGACTGCACTCAAATGCGAGAACAAAACAATGCATTCAAAAACTTTCACAAAATGAAACACCATTAATTCCCATTTACTGTCCAGATTTATTGCCACAGAACAGCCGTTGAAAACACATCGAATGTATATGATTCCGTTCATTTGAAAAAGGCTGGTGCAGTTAAGAACCCATTAATATTCACACTTATTATCAGCTTTACTCGCCCTATTTTGGCTTAAAGATGCAGAGCACCAATATACAAACAGCATTTACTGTATACACTACATACAATCATTTGTCATCTATGATTATTATTTTTCTTATTTCACCCCTAAAACATTTGACCTTTGCCATGAAGTGATCAAGTGTATTAAGTCATAGTGTAGAAATACTGAAAATACAATATAAATTCTAACTGCAGAATTTGCATGCATACATATGGTAGATTTCTCAAAGTCACTGTGCTTTTAGAGAAACTTGATGGACATTTGGTAAATAAAAGATTCAATCTGAAACAGACTCCAAGAACAGGAATGTAAATGCTTCTAGATCAATTTCAAATGTCATTATGTCATGGTCGTCCAACCTCTGCTTTTCACCTTTTGATACCTGAAAATGCTCACTATGATTGATCTTAATTGTGATTGTGAGGGTTAAAACAATCTCAGACTTGCAACCAATATCATAAAAAATGAGGCTCTCAAAAGCCTTCAGAAACCAATTGTGCCGCAGCTCTATGAGTATGATATGAGTTTGTCACTAACAGAATCTGGTTCACACACAATTAAAAAAATAGAAAAAAAATGCCTGAAGATCTTAATCTTAATGTGTGTTGTTATCTAAGCAGGGATGAAACAGAATAGCACTTTAAGATCACAATCTAATAGAAATCGGTGCGTTTTGTTCAACCAGCTTCGGTCCTGGAGGGCCACTGACTGTCCTGCAGAGTTTACCTCCAACCCTAATCAAACACACCTGCCTGTAGCTTTATAGTAATCTTAAAGACCTTGATTAGCTTGTCCAGGTGTGGTTGATGTAAGTTGGAACTAATCTCTGCAGAACAGTCATTGGCCCTCCAAGACCGAAGTTGCCCAGCGCTGCTTTGCAAGAAAAAGGCATTTTAGTTCACTTGAAGACAGTGTACAGCCTTTTTAGAGAAAAAAAAGGTAAAACTCAGTTATAATATATATAGCTTTCAGCTGTGAGTCTACTACAAGAGAAACATCAATTCCTGCCTCCTTCAGAGTGCCTGTGAGACCTTTGTAACTCTAAATCATCTGAGGACACATTTCATCTGTAAACAGTCTTGTGTCTGCTTTGTCTGTCTCTCTTCATTCCCTGAAGAGTGTCAAGTGGGTACAGGAAGGACGAGATTTACGGTCATGGCTTGGCAACCATAGTATTCCTCACAGCAGAGTGGAGCTGTGGCTTAAAATGTGTCTCAGAGCTCCATGGCAACTGCAGTCTCTGCAGTCTCAGCCCAGCGATCTGGATGTCAGAGGTTGCAGTGCTTGCTAAGCAGAATAATAGTTACATTAAACTGAACTGTGATGAGGCATCAGCACAGACGCTATCATGTTAAAATATTTTGGTGTACTTGGATAGCGTTGAATGATCATAAAAAAAAAGTGTTTTGTCCAGTAAGTTCAGTAACAGTACACTAAAAAATGCTGGGTTGTTTCAAAATATGGGTCAAATATGGACTAACCCAGCTGTTGGGTTAAATATTTAAATGACATTTTTAACCCAAAATTTGGGTTAGTCCATATTTGACCCAAACTTGGGTTGAAACAACCCAGCATTTTTTAGAGTGTACACTGTAAAACATTTCAAGTTGGTTAAACTTAGAAACGAAAGTTCACCTGCTGCCTTAAAAATGTGAGTAAACTCAACTTAAATACAGGTGCATCTCAATAAATTAGAATGTCGTGGAAAAGTTAATTTATTTCAGTAATTCAACTCAAACTGTGAAACTCGTGTATTAAATAAATTCAATGCACACAGACTGAAGTAGTTTGACAATCCTCATAAGGCTGCGGTTCTCTCAGTTGGTTGTGCATCTTTTTCTTCCACACTTTTTCCTTCCACTCAACTTTCTGTTAACATGCTTGGATACAGCACTCTGTGAACAGCCAGCGTCTTTGGCAATTAATGTTTGTGGCTTACCCTCCTTGTGAAGGATGTCAATGATTGTCTTCTGGACAACTGTCAGATCAGCAGTCTTCCCCATGATTGTGTAGCCTAGTGAACCAAACTGAGAGACCATTTTGAAGGCTCAGGAAACCTTTGCAGGTGTTTTGAGTTGATTAGCTGATTGGCATGTCACCATATTCTAATTTGTTGAGATAGACCATATTCTAATTTGTTAAGATAGTGAATTGGTGGGTTTTTGTTAAATGTGAGCCAAAATAATCACAATTAAAAGAACCAAAGACTTAAATAAATTCAGTGCACACAGACTGAAGTAGTTTAATACACAAGTTTCACAATTTGAGTTGAATTACTGAAATAAATGAACTTTTCCACGACATTCTAATTTATTGAGATGCACCTGTATATTATTAATGTTTATAAACGATAAATCAAATAATATAACATTAATTGTAAAATGTATTTATTAGGGATATAACGATTAACTGCAAGCCGGTTGAAAATCTATTCAAATATGTGACTATCTTTCATAATTTCAAAACAGCTTTTGTTGAATACATACTGGAGGGCCTTCTGTGAGCCCGTCAGTGTTGCCATGGTAGACAATAATTAACCATGAACTGAAGGCACCTGTTCCCAATTAAAAAAAAACAACAACAAAAAAAACATAAGAAGCAGCAGCAGCAGCAGCAGCAGAAAGATGAGCATGTTCTCCCAATGAAATTACTCTCCTCATATCCTTCTTCACCGTGTCTGCATGGGAAAAGGTCAATGGTTTGAGCTTGCCAAATCTGCATATGTTGAAGCTGCCCACTAACCAAAGATCTAAGACTTTTTCTATGTACACAAAAGGCCTGTTTCTCTCAAATATTGTTTGTTGTTAACATTCCACAGGCCACAATCAATAACCTGATCAACTCTATGCGAAGGAGATGTGTTGCACTGCATGAGGAAAATGGTGGTCACACCAGATACTGACTGGTTTTCGGACCCTGCAAAACTGCACATTTTAGAGTGGCCTTTTATTGTAGCCAGCCTAGCCGCCACACCTGTGCAATAATCATGCTGTCTAATCAGCATCTTGATATGCCACACCTGTGAGGTGGATGGATTATCTCGGCAAAGGAGAAGTGCTCACTAACACAGATTTAAACAGATTTGTGAACAATATTTGAGAGAAATAGGCCTTTTGTGTACATAGAACAAGTCTTAGATCTTTGAGTTCAGCTCATGAAAAATAGGGGTAAATACAAAAGTGTTGCGTTTATAATTTTGTTCAGTATATATAATAAAACAGACAGCAGCCAATGTGTGACCCTTTTTTCTTTGGGGGGTTAAAACTATCCTTAAAGAAATCTCCCACTGGTAATTAAGACATTGTAGTGATGTTCATGTGCACTCATCTCATAAATATGATAATTTTGACAGGACTGACGGCAGGACTGCTATAGTCACTTTCACCTACCTGTTGACTGTGTCTCTTCTGGTTGTGACTTTATTATGCTGGCAGAACCAAAAGTCAGGCTTTGTAGACATTGTCTCGTAGTGTGGTAGACACTCAGGAAGAAATATACCTCAAGCGAGTTCTCCGTTAGCATTCATTTCAATTGCAGGTGCTCAGCTGTCCATATTAGCCTATTCCTGCAGCAGAAAGACTGTCATGCCTTGTAGAGTCTTGCCACAGAAAACTTGTGAAACATCTACAGTATATTAATCTGTAATCTCATAAATTAAAATAACGTTATATGTTGCCAACAAAAATTAATAATTAGAATACATGGCTACTTTTGCGTGGCCGTCAATAGAAATCAATGATTTTTGTACACATTAAAAGTTAGGATATACATTATTTTTTATATAAACATTTTGTGTCTTTTCTTTGCATCCTCTTTATACATCTTATCTTTCCACAGTTTATCTGTGAACATCTTTAGTTCCAACTCATTGTGTTTGTAATTTAGTGATGTCCCGATGGTCAGCGTAATCTGGGATAAGACCGTTGAGGAATAAGCTTCCGTTTCGTACAAATGTGTAGGGATACGCCTCTCTCTCATCTCCAAGGTTAACTGAATGTGCACGTTTCCCTGGTGTCATCTGCTGATTGACAGGTGGGCTGAGGTTTATTTCAGCTGACATTTTGCGCTTGATCGATGCAGCACGCTGGAATTTGTCATAAATGTCGACACTCAATCGTCGACGTGTCTCTTTAAACTCAGCGGACACATTAGCAGTCCATTCGGCGGCATGAGCTCGAAATTCTCCTACCTACAGAATGCCAAAAAGAAATAGATTGGGGAAAAAAAAAACATGGGGTTAGTGCACCAAATATTCTGTCGTTATTTACTCATCTCATGCTGTTCGAAACAATATGTGCTGGGAATTTTTTTAAGTAACTTTGTCTGAAGGAACTTTATGTAGCTCTTTTTCCATATAATGACACTTGATTGCAAACACACCACGTGCTCCAAAAAGAAATAAAAAAAATAAAAACACATAATAGTGGTCTATGTGACTCATGTGCCAAGTCTTCTGAAAGCATATAGTAGTTTTTGTGTGATAAATGGTTTAAAAGGAAATTCAATCATTATTTGCAACTACAAATGTTAAAATGGCAAATGTAGACCAATAGCACCAGCCTGAAACCAAATGCGTTGGTTCTCACGTCTAAATAAAACACAGTATTTCAGTTCAAATTTGTGTAAAGAAGAATGACATTTGGGAGCTGGATGAGAGGGAAATTTTATGTGAAAAATGACATATCTTAGTCTGTTCTTTACACAAAGATATCATAATATAGCGTTAGAATACAAAGAATATATACATTTGGATGGATATGGATTTTAATGATACTACTTTGGCTCTGTTGTTTTTCTCTATTTAGTGCTTGACAGAGACTGCATGACCATCTGCCATTGGAAAAAAATGCAAATACAGCAAATTGATTTGGAGCAACATGATGTTGAATTATGAAATAGGGAACCAAAAAAAAACTTATTTCTGGGTAAACTATCACTAGGTTCTGTTTTAATTTCATGTTGGCTTTAAAGCAGGGGTGGCGAACTCCGGTCCTGGAGAGCCGCAGTCCTGCAGAGTTCAGCTCCAACCCTGATAAAAACTCACCTGCCTGTAGCTTCCTAATAACACTTCAGGCCTTGATTAACACGTTCAGGTGTGTTTGATTAGGGTTGAAACAAAACTCTGCAGGGCTGCGGCTCTCCATGACCGACGTTCGCCACCCCTGCTTTAAAGCCTTGCATACATGTGTGAGTGCAGCTGTTGTTTAAAAATGGCATAATTTATTGCATCACATGAGAACATACCTCCTCTTTTGTTTTCTTGGATATGACACGAAACCAATCTCCAATCATACTGAGAACAGCAGCGAAGTACGCTAAACCAATCAGGATCCAGAACCACACCAGGGGTTTGTAGTAATCTAGGTACTCTAACTCAGAACCACCTGAACAAACAAGACATGATGCTATAATCCATTTTGCAAATCACCTAGCACATGCATGTGTGTCCCATTAACGCTCACCACTGTTCTCTTCATGCTGGCGTCGCTCACCCTCGCCCGCAACAAAATCTCCAAAGCCAATGGTTGTCAAGGTAATGACGACAAAGTAGATGGACTCCAGTGCACTCCAGCCCTCAATGTGTTTGAATATGATGGCCGGCAGGGCGACGAAGAGGAGACAACCAAACAAAATGAAAAGCATGGTAGAAATCACACGGATCTTGGTTTGACTCACATTCCACTTCTGAGGAGAGAAAAAAGGATGGATGGAAAGATGGAGGTGTCCACAGATGGATGGAAGGACGGATGAATAAATTATGTAAATGTGCAGAATCCAGTGAATATACTTATACAAACTGGTAAATTTTCTGAAAAAATAATTGAAGAAATAAAATGGGAGCGGTGTTTGCCTTAACAACACTCTGTGCCAGGATGTTGGAGTTAATGCACTGCCACAAATCAAAAGAGCTCATGCTCTTTCCAGCCAAGTTAAGCTCTAGCCCTAATTAGGCTGCGTTTACACTGCAAGTCTTAATGCACAGATCCGATCTTTTGACCATATCCGATTTTTTGGCACATCTGTTTACATTCACTTTAGACACCACTGGTATCCGATATCCGTGTTTACATTAATTCCCACCCAAAAGGATTGTCTGCAGTGATCGCTTTACTATGCACATGGTAGACCCTCGGGTTTTAAATGGCCGTGCTATTAAAATTATTTATATAATTCACGTCGAATGGCCATTATTATTTGCCAGGATGGACAAAGGCTGTCATGGATGTTTTGCAGCACAAAATCTGGCTGAACGGATAAAGATCGGAAAATAACGGTAATTTTAATTTGTTAGACTATTTGGGGGATTGAAAACCAGCTCCTGAATGTGCAATCTCTTACCTATAAAAAGTTTCCATCTCAATAAAATGCGAGCACATACAGCACGCCGGCATTAAAACGCCATTAAAAATCTTTATAAGCAAACGTGTCGCCCTCGCATAGGGAGTTCTGTGGAGAATCAGATATGTGTGTTTAGACGTAGGTCGGATGTCCAGATATCAGATGTGTATCCGATTAAAATCCACATTTGGAAGTGGCTCAGATCGGATGGAAAAAAATCGGATCTCGTGCGGGTTTTTGTGTTTACACGTGTGCAACAAATCTGTGTCAAATGTGAGCGAAAGATAGAGCCTTAAACCCACCTGTACCAGCTATTCAAGGATCATTAAAAACTTCTAGGCAGGTGTGTTGAAGCTAAACTGTGCAGGGGGGTGGTCTTCCAGGAGCAGAACTGGAAACCCCTACTCTGAGACCAGGGCTGTCCAAACCTGTCCCTGAAGGGCCACTAACCTTCAGAGTTTACCAATTTAACTAACCATAATTAAATACACCTGAACAAATTAATCAAAGTCTTCAGACACACTATAAACTTCCTGGTGAGCAAGCTAGAGCTAAACTCTTCCGGACGTTGGCCCTCCAGAAGCAGGATTGGACACCCCTGCTTTAGACATTGTAAAGCTGTGATAAGGCAGGGGCCCAAAAAGCCTAAGTACAATGCCCCAAATAAAAAGAGCCCATCTCTGTGTCTTCTACAATATTCTGCTAAAGAGATGTCCAGGGGTTTTACACTAAACCCACTCACACTGAATGTGAGTGTATGTAAAATACAGTGTAGTCTGTTTCTGCTCATTTCGAGATGCACTCTAATTTTTTGGTAATTAAAAACATTTTACGCATAATGAAAAACACTTTTGAGAAAAATCATTACACTAACAAGACGAAGACTCCAGACATCTTTTAATAAAGCGGTTTCATTTACATGGAGCTAGTTGTACAGTATCATCACTGCAATTAAGACATTAAACAAGATTCCCGACACCTGTGTGCATCTCCCCAGGTCACTGTTTATTCTTTCCTTCCTCTCTCTTTCCCAACACCTCCTCGTACACTACCTTGCTTATGCATTTGGGGTATTGAAGTCCCTATCAATACACCTCACTTTTATCTATGTAATGCGTTCACTTTCACTCACAGCAACTGTAACTCTTAACATAATTTTATTTTCAGTACAACACTTAATATACAGTGGGTATAACAAAGAATCACCCCCTATAAAATAATGACATTATGTTGCTTTGCAGCCTGAAATGAAGATGGACACAGTTTTTGTTTTATCCAGTTGTATTTACTCAGTGCAACTTGTAACATACAAGTAAAGATATAACACCAACATGTCAGAAAAGTTGGAAAAAGGATCATGCTCTTGTGTCAGTATTTTGTTGAAGCACCTTTTGCTTTAATTACAGCCTTTAGTCTGTTAGGATTTGTCTCTACTAACTTTGCACATTTAGACTTTGGAATATTTGCCCGCTCTTCTTTGCAGAACTGCTCAGTTCAATTTGATGGTGAGCGTTTGTGAACTGCGATCTTAAAGTCATTGCACAGATTTTCAGTGGGGTTTAAGTCTGGGCTCTGACGAGGCCATGCAAGGACATTCACCTGTTTCTCCTTCAACCACTGTGTGCTCAGTTTTGCTGTGTGATTTGGGTCATTAGCTGTGTTTCCATCCACCTATTTTTATGCGCATTTTGAAATATCGCATAAAAAAAAAACCGCTGGATGGAAATGCCAAAATGCGCATAAATTCTAAAAATGCACATTAAAAAAAACGTATGCGCACAACTGAGTAGGATAAACTTTTTATCCAATAAGAAAAAATGGAAACAACAATGGAAACACATTTACCGAATAAATTTCACCATGCACATCAAAAAAAGTGATGTGACTTTGCACGATGGGACGGGATAACTTGACTAACTAGCGGACCGATCTCGCTGCACAGCATCTGAAATGTTGTTTTGGTCATTCTGAAATACCTGAGCAATGTCTGTCATCAAAGTATGTCTGTATAACTGTCTTACACGACTGCGTTCCCAAATAGCAGCCATCCACCTCTGAAAGCAATATTCCAGGTAAACCTTCTTCCCATTGACAACTTTGTGGCAGAAGGCAGGTTTTCCTCATCCATTTTTCCTTCTATCCTGACAAGTGCTCCAGTCTCTGCTGCTGCAGAGAAACTCCCCATAACAGGAGATCACCTCCTCCATGCTTTACTGGAGGAATGCTGTTATTTGGATGGTGAGCTGTATTGGATTTCTGTCAGACATATTGTTTGGTGTTAATAGGCCAAATAATTCAATTTTAGTCTCATCTGCTTCAGAATCTTCAAGGTGTGTTTTGGCAAAGCTCGGTCGTGACTGCATGTGGCCTTTCTTGAGGAGTGGCTTTTTTCTTGCAACCCTCCCATACAAGCCACATTTGTAGGGAATTTGTGATATTGTTGTCACATGCACACAATGGCCACTCTTTATTATAAAGTCCTGCAGCTGTTTCAGAGTTGCTGTCGGCCTCTTGGTTGCCTCTCTGACCAGTTTCCTCCAGTTCTTTCATCCAGTTTGGAGCGACGTCCTGATCCAGGAAGGGTCTGTGTTGTACCAAATACCTTCCACTTCTTAATAACAGACTTCACTGTGCTTCTAGGCATTGATAAAAGCTTTACAAAATTTGTATCCATCTCCTGACTTGTGCCTGTCCACAACTTTATCCCGGAGATCTTTTGACAGTGTCTTGCCACCGATAGTTAATTGTCTTTGTCAGCTGATTGAGTTGTTATACCACACATTAATGGTAAATTTAGCAATAGCTGGGACATTTGTCTCTGAAAGTGTTTATGTATCTAGCTTTGTGATTTTTTTTCTTGCAGTGATAAACTGCATTTGAAGTAATTTATTCCAAAATCATCCGGTACATCAGTGAACAAGCCATCGTGTAACATCATTTTGTGATAGATATAGATAAATAGATAAAGTTTGAAAAGCAATGGCCATGATTAAGTAACATGCTGTTGTAAGGTCAACTGTGGTGCAATTACAGAATTAAAGAATTAATCATGATGGCAGACAATGTATTTTCTGGTCACAGGATGGGGGAGCGAGGAAACATTTATTAGCATAGTAAGAAGCACCCACTGAGTGCACCTTTAAATTAATTGCATTAGGGAGTACTAATAAAAACACTGACCTAGTCCTTCCAGGGACAAAACAAGCATACATGAAAAAAAAAAGGTTTATGAAAAAGCAAATTATTTAGGATTAATAGTTCAAGATGTTCAGAGATATGTCTGGGTTGCAATCTCCAGCTGCTTCTGCTATTTCTCAAAAAATTGTGAGAAAGTACTTTTTTTTTTCATTGTGTGTCACTCAGTATGGGTCAATATCACACTACAACTACTGTAATTTTTACATTTCTGAAATTGTTTTACGGTTTACTGGCCACATGAATGATAAATGTCAACAAACCTACTTTGACTTCAGCAGGATTTCCATATGCTTTACGCATTTTGTGATCCTAGCGTTGCAAACTAATAGGACCCACTTATAATCATGGCAAGCATATGTGACATTACTGAATTCATAGGTGAAATATGGAATACAGAGCATATTCAAGTATCAAGACTACAAATGCCTGTTCCTGTCAAAACCATGTGATATTTATAAATATAATTGTAAAAAGAAGGCAATATGAAATATTGAATAATAAAGACCCTCAGAATGCAGCGCCCTAAGTTAAATAAATACTTAATAGATATTGCATTATGCTGTCAGGATGGGGGAGTAATTAAACATGCAATGTCATGATTTTTAACGAAATGATGAGAAGACGAAATGGTGCATTTGTGTTAAGAGCACTCTAGTTATCATGTGTGATGTGTGTTATTATAAACAGGTATTTTGAAAATGTAACAGCCGATTAAATTGTGGGAAAGGTTTTGTCACATATCTCAATCAGTTATTTATATTTCTGATGGTTCTCATTCTCTGACTCATTTTAATAGTTTAATATTCGGTAGTTATTGTGTTACGTATTAAGTGAAAAATCTATCCGCTATCTAGTTGAAGTGTCCACTTTGAGAAATGTGACCTGTTTTAATGAAATGGCTTTCATGAACTCCTGAACAGACCAAATTAAAATACAATTAATTAAGTGTAACATGTTTGATCAATGAGTAGCAAGAGCACTTAGTGAAGACAGTGTGCTTCCATCTGTGCTGCCTTTGATCATGCTGTACACACAGGAAGTCAAAAGGGAGCAAGTTTAGAAAAGCTGAAAGTGACTTTATTAGCTGTGAAGGGCTGTGGACAGTGCATGGGTAGAAGACTGGGATGGTCTGCAGTGTTGGGAATGTG